CCGAACTATTGCGATGATTGCCGGATTATGACCTTTCTTTTGGAGCGGGAACGATCAAGTTTGAATATGGGACGCGTGGCTGGGGCCTTGGGGGCGGCACCTGGGGGCCTGGTTGGGGCCTTGGTCGCCCCCAGGGTTTAAAAATCACCGGGTCCACGCCCGAAAATGCGTCGGTCTATGCGCTGGGGGGCCGAACGAGTGGAGATGCTCTAAGAGAATGGATGTCCGTTGATCCTGCATCCGGTATCCCTACCTACGAGAGATAGAGCTATTTGGGGGAAAGAGAAAGAGGCCGATGGTGTATGGTAGTGTGTGGGGTTGACGTGCAGTACACGTGGCTGGCAGGGGATGCGACCGATGCAAAGCATGCCATTGGCCGATTGAATTTAGTCCTTTCCCATGGGGCAAGCACAAAAAATTCCAGGAATGCGAATGCAAATGCGAAAGATACAGTCTGAACACACCTACAATATTATATTATTCAGTAATCTCCAAATGAGATGCATCTATTGGCCCGCGACACGGTTTCAAAGTGCAACCGATATGCTGCGGGCGTAACCAATATGGTTGAATCATCACCCCAATGCAGGGCTTGGTCGCCTTTCCTCGCCGCTCATCTATGACGGGCGCACCGGCTGCTGCTGCGTGATGCAGTGTATGTTCCCACCTCCCAGCACGATCTCCCTTGCGCCTTCCACCATCACAACCTGCACCCAACAGTTCATGGGACCCCTTCAGATAATCTAGCGCTCATACTGCCTTTTCTTTTACATCCAACAGTCACTGCTTGCTTCAGCTGACGAGCAACACGGATGCGTGAATTTTGAGGCCATAAGACTAACCTCACGATCAGGAAATGCCTTCTGAAGAACCCCGCGTGCTTCGTCATCCCTCTTCTTATCGCCGAAGGCCGGCGCTATGATCCCGCCGTTCGCTGGGTAGAAGTTCACGTACGAGGCGGCCAATCTCTTGCCTGGTACCCTCGGTACAGCATGCCCCTGAAAACAGTCACACACTGCCCCATGTTACAAGTGGTTGAAATCGGCGTCATAAAGGACCCATGAAGCGTAGCTGCAATACTGACCGTTGCAAGAACACCTTCCCCCTCTTCCTTCGTGATGTACAGAGGCCCTGGCACGTGGATCTTCACCACCTCTATCTGCCGCCCTTTCGCATCGACGGTTTGAGTGAGAGCTGATAGTGCCTTAACCGATATCTCGTACTGCGGGTCGTTCTCGTCATCGGTCCAAGACAAGAGAATCACACCGGGTTTGATGAAACAGCATAAATTGTCAACATGCCCATTTGTATCCTCGTCACCTAGAAAAACATTACAACGTTATAAATAAATGGTTCTCGAAGTGAGGAACAGAAACCTTGTAAGTGATAAAGTACTTTTCGTTGTTACCGTGTAGTCCCAGAGGTATCCAAATGATCTTCGTGACTCCAAGAAAATCCTTCAGCTCATTCTCTATCTCTAGTTTAGTCATGTGAGGGTTCCTGTTAGGATTCAACAAGCATTCTTCTGTTGTAATGCATGTACCTTTGCAAAATGTGACAGAATCGTTAGCAAAACACCAGACAGACTGAAAACTATTTGTTCATCAACAGTGATATGACAGATCAAGCACCTTCTCCATCTACATGAATGCTTCCACCCTCAAGAACCATTGTATGTGCAAACCTAGGGATCCTCTCAATCTCGACTATCTGAAAATAGTAGCACAAATTGGAAGAAATTTAAGAGCAGAAAGAAACTAACAAAAGATGCAGGTTTGTTCTAAAATAGGACATCACTCTTTACCTTCTTGGCAATGCTTCTGTCAAGGCTCCAATCATCAAAGCAACCACCACCTAGTCCTGCAGGACAACAGGAGCAGAACTTACTAAATCATCGTGTGGAGAAGGTGATTAGACATTGACTTGAGAAGTAATGAAATTCTTGCTCAAAAAATACTACTGCTTCTATGCTTTGCTAGTGCAAACCAGGCCGTCTATAGCTTTTATAAAAAATATAGAACCGTTCGCAAGTTCCTACTAAGATATTGGCATGAATTGATAACTTCGCTTTTGCATGAACACAAATAATTATCAAAGAAAGAGTTAAACTAGACGAACAAAAATAGCCACTGAGAAAGCACTGAAAAAAAGTATACATACTTTAATTTAAAACAACATACCTCCCCATGCGTTAAATTCCCAGTCAATCCCCGCTATCGTTTCCTCTGCAAGTCCTATATCTGATCCGCCTTCACGGGTAATAAACTAAAAACGAGGATAATGTTAGCCATGAAATCAGAATAGTAAAAGGGGATATAAGAAAAATTAAGTTACGCACAGTGGGACCAGTATCACGGAACCAGGAATCATTCATGCTCATCTCGACCACCCTGATGTTCGGTTGGTGTTCCATCAGCTCGTGGACATGAGGATACTGCCAGAGAGAGAAAAAAAAGAGTGAAACTGAATACCATTGTGTTGCACATGATGATGCAGCAGTTTACAGCATAGTTCATGTGAAGCGTATCACCTGTTTGGCACTTGCACAAATGGTGACAGGCTCAAACTTTGAAATGGCAATTGCAGTTCTCTCAAATGTTTTTCGAGCTGGCTCAGCATGCTCCCGCCAGTTGTCTGGACGCTCCTAAGATTCAAAGAAGTGGCTTGTTTATTATGATGATGCACTTCAAATTGTTCAGGGCATATGCTGAAGAGGATACACAATAATAAAAGGAAACTCAAAAGTTCTTTCAAAGAATTAACACGATGATCTACTATGCTTAAAATGAACTAGTCAATGTGTACGTGCAATGCACGTTAATTTGAAAGTATATTAAGTGCATGCGGATATTAAGTAGGATATTTTTTGCATGTTATTATGTGATTAGCACTATATTTGGCATGAAATTAACTGCAAGCTAAACGTGTTGAACGCTCGACATTGAAGCAGTCTAGGTCGTTGGATTGACATGATTTGATGGCCGAGATTAATTGGATCTGCCTTTTTGGGTATTTTTATATTGGTATAGATGAAACGTCGTCAGCAGTGATTATACTCAATGACAACAATGAGAATACTTCAAACACATATCATTATTCAGTCGCAACTTGTCATTCACACGACCTGGCCACTAATTTCAGTCACTGCATGCTTTTAAAACCCTACAAAAATTACATATTGTGGAAATACTTTTAAAGTCAAAGTTTCACATATGGTTCTGAAGGTTTGTAATCCAGATATTTTTGAAGATAATGACAATAAAATAATGAAAATGTGACTTTTTGTATGTCTAAGACGACGGCTTTCAGGCGGCAACGTAGAATGAGAATGAAAGGAAAAGTTACATCAACATACTGAAATTACACATATATTAGGCACATCATGGAATTAGTCAATTAGATATTGAGATAACGTTCTTTTAGGTCCTGTGCTACATGGCTCGAACAGTGGCACATACACAGCTGTAGAATTGCGCGGCAGAAAGTCGTAGGCAACAAGGGGGAGGAATTGTGGTCATGTCTAGTCTCTAGTGCTATGCATTCATATAGTTTTTGTTATTTTCCGTAGGTAAAAGAGCACTTTCATGTGGGGTAACAAAAACTTCAGAAACAAATATATACACCTCGCCACGGACGCGGCTAATCTGCACCCAAGCTCATATGCTCCCGCATGAACAGTAAAATCGAAAAAAATTCAAATTTTTTTTGAGAGAAACATTGACAAAAGTTCTAAGTGCCTGCAAAAATTCGTCATGAAATCACATTCCTAGAAGGCGTGGCAAAAAAACAAAAATAGTACTTTGAAAAAGCTACTTTCAAACGCATTTTGAAGTACTGAATATGTTTTTTTTTTGCCACGCCTTACAGGAATGTGATTTCATGATGAATTTTTGCAGGCACTTAGAACTTTTGTCAATGTTTCTCTTAAAAAAAAATTGGAATTTTTTGAATTTTTTTCGATTTTACTGTTCATGCGGGAGCATATGAGCTCGGGTGCAGAATGGACTTTTCGACCTCGCCACTGTCTATTCTATTATAAGGAGAACATGTTTCGTTGGAATAGTTTATCTGACCACCGAATGAGAATGGATGCACATGCACTTGGGGTTGGTGGCTGAGGGGGTGTTTGTTTCCAGGGACTTTTTTGTGTAGGGACTAGAAAAAGTCCCTCTTAGAGACTTTTTTACCAAACGGGAGGAACTTTTTAGGGACTAAACTAGGCATTTGGGACTAAATGAAGAAGACTCTCAAGGAGAGTCTTTTTTGGGACTTTTCCAACAATGCCCCTCCATGCATTCATTGGCCCGCCACCCCATGGTGTTGTTTGATTGTTATTTTTCTATATACTAGGGGCAACATGGTCATTTAATAACCTCTAGGAAAGGACTAGGAACTTTTTAGTCTCTGAAAACAAATAGTGAGGGACTTTTTAGGGACTAGGGACTTTTTAGTTGGGACTAGAAAAAGTCCTAGGACTTATGAAACATACAGGGCCTGAGTGCAAATAAAACATAGTATACAGGTAGAGCACTGACCCGGTTCCAAGATTCCACTGGAGAATATGGAGAAGGAATCTTGACAGGGGATCCAATAATTCAACTTTGGCAACTGCTCCTGATGGCTGCTGCCAAGCGCACGACATGTAATTGGTTCAAATAAACCGGACCACTCTTTGGTTCGCTCACATTGTGACACGGGACCCACATGCCAGCGACTAATATGACAAACAGTGGGCAGGCATATTTGCTTGTCAGGTAGGAGTAGTATTTCTTTGTTGTTTGCTTATTCAATTCAACAACGTCGCGCGGGGACAAATCTCGGTAGGTACGCAAACATGTGCACGGGAAGAGACGGCACCGTCTCAGGGACGAACAGCAGAAGCTACGCGCAAACGCAAGGATAAGCCGCCGCCATGCCGGACAAACCTCGCCGGCCCAAACGAGCGGCTCCGGCTTGCGGGCCAGACAACCAAGCATTTCTATAACCAGAACTACTACGGTTTAAACGAATTCGATCGGAATCTCGCGTGACGAGCGGAAAAGTTGGATGAAGACGAAGAACGCCACGCCGGGCGAGACGATAGGGGGCGAGGGAGGGAGGGAGGGATGAGTACGTACCGGCCAGCCCATCCAGCACTGCTCGTGCGGCTCCCACTCGGCGGGCATCCGGAACCTCATCTTCGCCGGGCATCCCGCCATGGCCTTCACCATCCTCCTCCCCTCCCCTCGGCTCGGCTCTCGCCAAACCTAGATTGATTCGATCTTCCGCTGCGCTGATCTGAGGATGGAGAATGGAATGGGACACTGCTGGTGCTGGGGAGAATAGCCTCGTCGCGACGGCTGCTTTATGTACGACGCGGGGGAGGGAGGGGGGAAGGGAAGGGTGGGGTGGGGTGGGGGGTGTCGAAAGATCGTGAGGCGGACCGGTCCAGGGGCGTGTGCTGCTGCTAAGGGCTGGGCCCACGTGACCGGCTTTGCGCCGCGCGGTGCCCAAGTGGCCAGCGGTTACTGATGCGTGGGCCCTCCCGCTACCGGCCGGCGCTTGGGAATGCAAAGATTCCCCGGAATGCCGAGCGCCTTTTTTGTTGGCGCACTGGAGCGCGGGGCCCAGGATAGGCACCTTGTGGGCCCGCCGTCGGTGGTGCCCCGTGACTCGGAATACCAAATTTTTTGAGCGTTCAAGATTTTTTTTTAACATAATACGGACGTATATACTCACACCTATGAATGCACGTAAACAAACACATTACCTCTATGAGAACATTCCAAAGATTGATCCGGCACATCATCTTGAGATTGACAAAGTCATCACTGGTGCATTCGTAATCGACATGAACGTCTCCTCCTACTGAACGCGCATAGCTGAAACGTTTGAAATAATAAATTAAAAAAATGCGAGCATCAATGTCAAATCTAGAACTTAAACTCTGATGGGCTGAGAATACCACTATCCTCCTAACCATACAACGTCTTTTTATATTTTTAATACACGAGAGTGGTTAAGGCCACATTTTTTGTGATTTCTCCAAACACACAAGAATTGTATCATTTACTAAAATAATAGCAATAATTGTACCAACTATACTGTACTAGGGTAACCGCTTGGGATATGTGGTTAGCAAACTCGAAATTCATATATTGTATTATCGTAATGATGTTTGCGGGGGATTATGATATTTTTAAAAAAATCAAAAGGCCTTTCTCGCGTTTTTTATTTCCAAATACTAAAAGCTTGCGTATCATTTTATTGATAGAAGAAGTTGGAATGAGAAGGAGGAGGGGGTTACATCACATGACACAACCAAAGATGACGTAAACATGGTGCCCATAGCAGAGAGACATGAGATGTTCGGCACAAAACAAAATATATAACATAGTGTTAAACTACCGCGGGCAAGAGAAACAACTCGAACCAAAACGATGTCCCATATCTCGGAAACCATCATCTGGTATGCCACGAGCAAACAATACGACACCTCATGAAGGGGAGCATCGTCGCCATCTGATCCAAGGAACGGGACCCGGGTTTCCCCAGTGCTCAAAGATGGGCACCGAGAAAGGGCCCGGAAGCGCCTCCAAGAGGGGTACGACACCGACAAGTGCCATCGCTATTAACATCAGCAAGCCAAACATGGATTTTACCCTGGCCTATGTCCAAACAATCCCGAAACAGCGGGTGCATAAAAACTTGGGAGTATTTCAGAAGAGAGATAGAGCACAAATACACAATGCTTCTCAATTAAAAACAAAAACGAGATTTAAGTTTATCCTAAGATTTCTATCAAATGGAGCGCATATGAATAGATTGTGTATGATTTTGAATTCCGTTCCCGACACCGCCTTTTTCTTTCTGCCGGACGGCCCCATCTTCATATGGCCCTTAACTTTTGTCATGGTCGCAAAGTTCTTATTTTCATCAGCAAGAATGGATAAAATATCTCTTAGTTTCCTGTGAACATTGTTAATATTCTTACTTGTTTAAATTATGGACTGGTCTGTACCAGCGTTCACTTAGTTTTAATAAAATATTGTTTCATATCTTCGAGGATTGGGAGCAGGTGGCGTAAAAAGGAAGGAAAAATAATTTGAAATCTATCCCTTGCCATCGACATGACTTTCCTTACTTTTTGATTAATTTATTTTGTTTTAAACTAGGTAGTTGCTATGGTTTGTTTAGTCACATTATTAAATATTCTTGTTTAGTTTTTTTAGTCTAAAGGTAGAATATAATAATCCGATTGACAGGTAATGATCATACATATGTAATGCATTGTATGTTATGATTCAAAGGACATTCACAATAATAAAAAATTCAAAATTGTAGTCCATATATGTTGTCTTTCTAAACCAGTGATACGTGCCTGAAATTTTAGAATACCACATAAATTATTAGCTCTCTACAATTTCAAAATCACCTTCTACAAATATATATTTCAGGTTTTATTTTTATTGACAATTAGATCGATTTAATACAGGTCATGTGACACAGAAGTAATAGTTGTACTCATATTTCGTTGAAATTTGAAAGCTTTCATAAACCTCCTCCCGGTCTTTGTTTCAACAGTCTGCCAGCGTCATTTCTACGAACTGTAAACGACCGCCCATCTAGCCGCCGGGCGCCTGCCGACCTCTCACCGGTTCTGCCCGTCAAGAGTCCGGCAAGCTGTTTGGTCATTTCCTCGCCTGCACCTGCTGACTGCCGAGGCCCGAGAACTTGAGCGGCACCACGAACCCTCTCCTGGTCCACGATGTACGACTGAGTTGGTCAAGATAGAACAGCGTGGCATACACAACACACGCAGAGAGTCAAGGACAGTCAATGCAGGTTTGCGGTTCCAAATAAATAAATATTTCCCTTATAGCCTGTTTGGTAAACACTCGGGCAGTGGAATGGGAGTTTATACAAGGGTGTTTATGAAGGGATTTTTTTTTGCGGGCTCAATACTTGTATTACTCAATAAAAATATCATTATAGTCCTCAACAACTATCTCCACAACTTCAGGAGAACCTGACCCTAACCAAGTCATAGTCCTATTATTAACACGACCAAAAGCAACTAACCTGTCACTCGCTTTATTTTGTGAGCGCGCGACATGAGTAATACAAGATTGATGAAGACTCAATAACAGTCTAATCTCATTCACTAGCGAAGAGTACGCCGAGTGATCAATGCCCCCACATGTGATTATGGAAACTGCAACAGAAGAACCCATCTCAATTTCTATCGGCAATTCTGTTCGTTGAATCGACGAGGACAGTGACGATGTCATAGACCTAGGGTAGGGTCATAGACCTGACCTATACGCCCTACCCAAGGTCACTACACTAGAAGCAAGGACATTCAAAGCACAGCAGGAAGTATCGTCTGAAGCCATCGAGTGCAATCCACTCGACCAGTCACTTCACTCGGATACCCCCAATTTCACTCGACCTGGATAGAGTCATTCGACCATACAGGAAACCATTCGGAGTATAGAAGACCTAGAGTCACTCAGGATGGCAACGGTCAGGCGTTCACTCCGTAGTCTTAAAGATCATTGATGACACTTTATAGCTGGCCTTACTAGTAACGCCCTATCTTAATGTACACTGAACCTCTGCAACGGAGGACGGCTGGGGTCCCGGCACACTCTATATAAGCCGCACCCTCCTCTGGGACAAGAGTTCGCACCCCTTGTAACACACATCCATATTCCAGTCGTCCGCCTCAGGGCACCGAGACGTAGGGCTTTTACCTCCTCCGAGAGGGGCCTGAACTTGTAAACTCGTGTGTACAACCTCGTCGTAGCTAGGGCCTCGCCTCCTCATACGTACCCCCTACTCTTACTGTCAGACTTAGTACCACGACAGTTGGCGCCCACCATGGGGCAAAGTGTCTTAGCGACTTCGGGCGAGGTAGCATTTTCTCCGATCTTCATCAACATGGTTTTCGGTGGCGGTTTAGTCATGGGCCGCGAGTTCTGACTCGGTGCACTCACTTTCGTCGCCGACGACTCCGTCTGGCTCCAAGAAGCCCCCCTTGATGTCGAGGCTCTCCTGATCCGTGGATCATCGCACTTCCGCGCGAGTGCCTGCGGCGTCCTCTTACGACAGTCTTCGACTCCGTATCGGTCGGTCTTCACATTGCCTTCTCACTCCACTTGACGCAGCCGCAAGCGATCTGGTTGGTCGCGGCTCCAGCCGTGGGTGAAGCATGTGGTGGCTCGCCAGACGGCCATCCCCCAAGTCGTGACAATCCAGCCCGACGAATTTCACTGCGGTCCAGTCGACTCTGCAGGTACGTTTTCCAAGAGCGGGAGCTATGACCCCGCGGCAGAAGTTCTCGTGGTCGACTCCCGTCGCAGCCCACCCGGGTTTTGCTGCAGCAGCGGCAATGGTGACGGTGACGGCCCGTCATTCGGCCACGAGGAGTACGAGCCCCAACCTCTCAATTCGCAGCAGAGGGAAGAGCTGCACCGCCGCAACGTGGAGGCCCTCCAGACCCCCATCATAGAGGAAACCGCCGAGGCTCGGGCCTTGGAGGCTGCGCATCTGGCCACGCTGGCTGAGCGCACTCGTTTGGAGAATCTCCAACATTCTCTCAACGAACGCGCCCATCGACTGATCCCCGAATCCAGCCGGCGTCAACGATAGTTGTTTCCGCCTGAACCTCAGGTATTCCGCACTCCGATCCAGAATCTTGCAGCTGATGCGCGTATAGCAGAGTCTATTCAGCCGCCCCATTCAGAGGCTAGAAGGGGCCTAGAACAGATCAGAATGCTGCTCCGAGCAGCAGGAGAGCTGAACTCCGCCGTTTCTCAGTCGCGGAACAGGATCCACAGCAGGTCGGTAAGGGAAAATACAGTTCAGTCGGCACACAGTCATGGGTCGCCTTTGCGGCGTGAAGATCATGATCACCACCGAGTTCGGCACCTGGGAAGGGCTCATGGAGAGTTTGATCATGAGTACGCCCGTGACAATCGCCGTCGAGTGCCTTCGCCCCTTCCGAGGGATGGGTCATACGCGCCCCGGCGGTATGACGACAGGCGCCCATATGGTAATGACCGCAGGGTTCCAGTCGACCCAAGAGAGCCTGGGTTCGACGCGAGGTCAGTCCTTGTTCAAGGTTTGGTCGACCGGAACAGAGCATACAGAGAAGGGTTGGATAGAGACAGACCCGAAGGAAGTAGGGTCCATGTTTCTGGCCCTGAGTGTTTCAGAAGGGCCATCC